CAGGTGGGTATCCTTAACCTAACTCGTCACCACGAATTCATTTATAACGTAATCGTTTTCCTCCAATTTTCTTTTGGCTCTACTCAGTTGCTACTTCTCCTAATTTCTTATGTTAAAAACAAACTGGCGCCACCTGCCCTCGTCGTCAATAAACGTCTTAGAGGATGTCCAGTTTGTCTGGTCAGATATCTGCAAGTAAAAAAGTCTGCGCCTGTTTTCCTGGTCAGGACCTGTTTTTTTCTCCAGATCAGTGGAAGAAATCAAGATCTCGCGTTTGTTGTATATATGTAAAAATTAGGTATGCTGCTTGCTAATCACTCATACTGAGCAAAAATCAGTTGAAACCTAGAAAGTTTTCTGAAGATCATCCAATGTAATCATCAGCCTCGGAATACCGCTAGATATCTCTTGTTCACCACCCAAATCTCTAAGACATTACTCATCACTTATGAGAATAACTTTGAAATTTTTCGAAAAATTAGTGGTCACTATATACTACGTGACTTAGCAAATAAACGGTGATTATGGAAAAAACCTAGCTCTTGTCTTGAACCTGACCAGTGTCAGGTTCTCAGAAAATATCAAGATTAGACAAAAAAGGTCAAGACCAAACCAAGATTTACCGTTTGTCTGATCAGTAGAAAAAACAGAGAATCTTGATCTGGTCTTATCACTTTCCGAAAGTGATAAGACAAGAGTCTTGTTCTGACCTTGGAGCTGACCAGAATAAGAAAAAAAAAGCAGGTAACAGACACCTGTAATTAAATAAATCTTCACTCTATTTTCAAGACCAGACAAACTGGACGTTCTCTAGGGCGAACATTTTAGTATAATACAGCATTGGAGATAGATTCCAGTGAAAATACATATCAGAGTTTCTCAGTTGTGTAACGGTCCTAACAGATGTATCTGGGTAAAACTTCTCTTTATCTAACTTATTATTATTACTAATTAAACAATTACGTTCACAGAATATAAAAAAGACATTAATTAGCCGAAGTTGCCATATGCTCTTGTTCTCTATAGTATATTTTCATGTCGTCACATATGAATAAATATTTAAATATGTCGTTTTCAAAAGAATCATATAGAAATATGTTTTTAATAATTTTTCTTTTCCTTTTTTTGCTATCTTATATTTCATTCTCTAAAAATAAATTTAATCAATGTAAAAATAAATGCTACACGTTCATCATTATTTAGTTTTTTTTAGAGACAAAACACTTTTTTATGCTTTTTCTTTCAAAAAAGTTTACAAAATACTCTCAACTTTTCCTTTAGGTCTATATTATTTTCGATCTTCGGTATTTTTTCTTATAAAAGGATCCACAAAAGGGCCATTGAAACTATCACAACTCATTAATTTATAACAGACAAGCAATTGATAAGTTTTAAAACAGAAAGGAAAATGCACTTACCTAAAAAGAAGAGTATGAATACGTCATATACCTGATGTCAAATTGTTCGCTGATTTGTTTTCTTTTTTTGTCTATACAATGTAAAGAAGAGTATGAAAACTCTTGAACAAATGTTTCTTTGATGAGATATGTGTTCAGATGTAAATAGAACAACCGTTTCCCGTTTTTTACTTTTAGAAAAAAAACAAACTGGCAACGTATTTGCAAATCATTTGTATAAGAAAAAAAAATCACAAAGAATAGTTCTATACATGGCACATTGTTTCACAGTAAGTTCGCAGCAGAATGCTCTAAGTTGTCCGTTTATAAAAGCGGAAGAAAAATTTTTGGGTAGTAAAATTGCTTTCATTCAGAGTATGGAAAAAATTGGATACTCCTGGTAGATTACTAGCATTTATATTTTATTTAGAACAACTATATCAACTATCCATTACAGTACAATGTAAAATTTGGCGAGTAAGTTTTTGCTCATTTTTAGTTTTTATTCAACATTCGTTCTTTAACATGTATTGTAAAATATTGAAAAAGATGATTTGATATCAGATTAATTTTTGATAGAAACAACATACAGGATATGGCAAAATTATGGACCTCTCCCCTATATGAGTTGCACCAAAATTTATGTAATTCTTCAATCACTAAATCTTTTTTCAAACGACTTTCCGATATAAATAGCCACATGCCTAACCTACATTTTTATATAGTCTCTTTCATTTCTAGGTCAGTCAACACCTAAGAGAAAGAGTCAATACACTGAAAAAATCATGTGGCAGAATTATAGATTCCTCTTTTATTTTTCATTTATTTTTGATAACTCTCTAGTTAAAAGACTTTTATTAGGTTTGAAAATAACATGATTCGATAGAGAACTTTAAGGGCTATATTTTCGTAAAAAAGGCTTTCTCAGATATCAACTATAGCGTTTGTCTCAAAGCTTTTCAATACGGTAAAGAGAAATAAATTCTGCACAAAATAAGCTGTTGCACGCCTTTCTACTATAGGTAACTGATGAGTTGTGGATGGGTCTTTTTCAGCTATGAAGACCCCAGAATCGCTAGAGAAAAGGAAAAATAAAGGCTAATAATGACACATTCGCGACTCGTCGGTTACTTACAGTAGAAAGTCGTGCAACAGCTTATTTTATGCAGAATTTATTTCTCTTTAACCCTACAGTATTGAAAAGCTTTAAGACAAATCCTAAGTATAGTCGGAAAATGCAACTTAAATAGAGGTCGTGAGTGAAACAATAAAACACAAGAGAAAAACAAACAGAAATGTAAGTCCTGATTTTAGTTGACACGTTGTTTTTTGACTGTATATTTTTGATTAGAATGAATAAGTTTAAGCAGATCTGGCTCTGATAAGAAATAATTATAAATTTCGGTGCATGATAACGATGAGTTTAAGTGAATTTTTAACCCAGCTGCAATCATTTCTGTCGAGAATCCTCAATAGATAGACATTCTTTTTTTAAATGTTATATGTAAACAGGGGAAAAACAGCAAAAACAGACAATTCTCAAAATGCGGACCATCTGGGAAGTCTGGTGTTGACTGACCTAGAAATGAAAGAGACTATATAAAAATGTAGGTTAGCCATGTGGCTATTTACTTCTCGTGTAACTTGCCACTCGGAGAAGAAAATCTCGATTCATCAGTACAGATGATGGCATTTTTTAAAAATTAAGTAAAAGTATTTAGACTTTTAGTCCGAAGCTCAATATAAATGTATAATGTTTCTTGTGATTTCTTGTCGTAAAAAACTTACAAGAGTAGTCTGTAAGACCTTGTCAGTTCTTACAGGATCATAAAATAAGAAGTCATATGATCTTGCGTTACAGATTGTTAAGCTATATTTATTTTATTATTATATCTTAAAAGATTTCATAGAATCGATGACATGTACAACAGAAATTTAACCTATCAGCTGAGTACAAAATAAAGTTTATGAGGTAGAAACGTGACAAAACACAATCCTAGAACGTAAAAGTCCTACTTATACTAGAAAAAAAAAGCAGGAAGCAATAGTGGTTAGAAGGGGGTGAGGAAGGAAGAAGAAACGATAGTAAAAAGCAGGCATATTATTTTCAATATTCAGATGAATTTCTTTTAAGATTTTACAGGATCTTCTAAGAACTTATCATAAGAAAATCTTATAATATGATCTTCTAAGATAATATCAAAGTTTGAAAGATCATTTGACAATGTTCGTCTATCTGGCTATCCATGAACTCTCAGTAGAATTTGGTTTGTTCGAGAAGTTTTTTTATACAAGTGTAAGAATACAGCTTAAATCAAATAGGTCAATTGATCCGTTTCTTTTCTTTATTTTTTTCTTTGCACCGAGCAACAGTTATTAGTTTCTGTTTTATAAAATCTGGTGTTAATGATTTGAGCATTATTTTTAACCAGGTATACATACCGTTTCTGTTTGCAAGTTGTTGTCTTTATCAGGTTTCTCCAATACCAGAAAGAATCAATTTCAAATATATTCCTATACACATGATACGCTGACGTTGACAAATAAAACACAAAAAAGACACAACTAATTATTCTTATTCTTCAGAAATCATTCTTCTACCGTTTTCTTGTCAAATATGAATAAAAAATTACTCGAAATCCCAAATAATGATAATAGTTTTCAATTTATACGGAGTAAATCGCAAGAAACAGATATCTATCCACAAGAAAATTATGCATCATCTAACTCAAATACAAACGTTAAATTTTCATCAGTGAAAAGGTAATAAAGTTTTCATTTTTTAAATTTTTTTACAGATATTCTTCGACGTCTCTTGTGCTCTGTGATTTAACAGTTCATCACTGTAATCAGTTATATTAAAAGAGTATATTTTGACTTACAGATTAACAATTGTTTGAGGGATCAAAATACTTAGACAATACAAAAGTGCTATTATTTCTATGGATCTTAAAATAATCCAGTTAAGTCCCCACTGTACAACTAAACTGCAATCTACAGTCAACTTTTTCTTTCTTCACCAGTTTTAATTTCTTAAACATTAAACTTCATGGAAATAATTACGAAACTTCAGGGTCAACATCTGTAATATTGTTTGTACAATCATTCCCACTATCCATCATTTCTCTTCCCCAAATGTAGGTCACTCAAATATCGGTTGACGTGATTGACGTTTTATGTATGTTGTCATTAATTTGAATGTGTAGTTTGCTTCTTACACTAGACATGTTGTTTTTACCATTTTACTGCATTATTTTTCTTCAAATATTCAACAAAATCTTTCAATACTTGTTTTGGGGCTATAAAAGAAAAAATAGACATTTAATATTTGTCATAATCCATTTATTCATATAATATATTAATTCACATTATCGAATGTATAGATGACAGTAAAATTTCTTCTTTTTTTTTAAAAATTATTCTAATAAGCACTTCAACTTTACATACTTAATAAGAAAGAGAGTTTTGAAACAAAACAATATTCAACAAACGATATGTTATTAGATCTTTTTATACAAAAAAATTATTACAGAGAGAAGTTGACTGAATATATTTCATTTTTTCGAAATTATTTGAAATATTTTCCGAAGAATAAGATTTCTGATGATTAAGATAATTCATCCAAAAATAACTTCACCAAACCAATACAAAAAAATAAAACGAAATAATAGTGGCAGGTAATTAAAACTATATTTTTTTGCTTAGAGCGATGAAGCAACTTTTTAAGGAGGAATTTATATAATAAAATTTTCTCTTTAAATAAAAACACGAAGAATTTATGATTGAAGTATTGGAAACAATGCTAAAATGAGAATATATCTTGAGATAATAGTTTAATCAATTGAATATTTTCTCATTTTTATAGACCTTTACTTGGATCTGGGCGTACCATTCGAGTTGACTCTTCAATAAAAGCAAATAAAAGTATATGTTTTCTTTCTTAGAATGAGATAGATATGTGTACTATTTCGTTTTTTGTTTTTGTTTTTATTGTAGATGTGGACAAGCCTCAGATATCTGCTACACATCCAATAGACTATTTCGAACTGCTTGATGCTGAAAACATTCAGAGTAAAGCACAATCACACCTGCATGAAGAAAAAATGTGGCCAATTGCACCTGATGGTAAATAAGCTCACATGCAAGAAAAAAAAAAAAGACAAAAAATTAACATACTGAAAAAACTCATTATCATTTCTTAATGTCAATAGAAAAAATATTTAATATTTATTGAATTAATTAGGTTTTATTCCAAATTCGGTGACACGCTCAATATTTAAAACAAAACAAATAGAGCCAATAGAAAGGAAAGTCTTTAAATTAAAATGGGTAAATATTATGATATGAACTAAAATGTAATAGTCGAATCCTTTTGAAGAAGAAAAAAACAAATTATAAGCGTTGACGACATCTATGGCCTAATTCAGACTATAGATCAATAAAAAAAACTAAAAATGAACAATACAGTATAATGGCAATTAAGTGAGAAAATGAAATGTTTTGCTTAATTTCAAAATGACTCATCATTATTAAATCTTCTCGTAAGCATATTAATTCTAATTATATTCTTTTTTGTATAGCTCGATATACCAGAGGTAAGTCTAGTATACAGTGTTACAGTGCATGTTTGGATATATGATTATCGTAACTCTTTTTCGTAAATACATATTCTAAACTTTAACTAAAAATTCACAAAAAGAAAAGAGTTGTGTATCACACATTTTTAATGTCCTTCATATCAACAAATCGAAAAATTTTAAAAACTTTTTCGGTCAAAACCGATTGCAGATTCGTCTTCTTCATAATCGATTATCTTGTACGCGATAACTTTTGGAATGGGCTACTTCATAAAAAAAATTGGCTCATGATTTTGTTCAAAAATTTTCAAAAAGGACACTACGATCAGAGGCAACCCGATATCGGCAATTTTTTCTGAAGTACTCCCGATCTAAAAAGTTATCGCGTACAAGATAATCGACTATGAATAAGATGAATCTGCAATCGATTTTGACCGAAGAAACTTTTTAAAATTTTTCGATTTGGCCCTATGTCTGGTTTCATCGTTTTTAATCAAATCTTTTAACTAATTGAAGAATAATCGAAGAGAAAATTTGGACGATGGCGAAGAATTTGTTGATTTTGATGATCCAGAAGCATCATTTATATCAGCATCAGCAGACAAACAGTCAAATAATCGAAAAAAAATAAGGGGTTTGTAATTATTTTGTATATTTTTACATGTGGGTAACTAATCATTGATTCTTTTGTTAGACTACCTAAAACCATTTTTTTTAAACTGTTACATCGATTAATGACGCCAACATTATACGTGTTGATTTTGTTTTTCTAGAACCAAAATTAGAAGCGTATGGCATATCAGGTTCAAAGGTAAATATTTTTTCTTACTTGAAATAGGATACTTACTGTTCAACTCATTATCGTCGTAATTGGTAAAACAATAGAATCGAACTTTTCTAAGTTAAAAAATTTGAATGAATATATTTGTAGAACAATGAATATGAAGATATTGATGATGAGGAACGCTATAATAGCTATTGGGATAATGAGGTACAGAGAATTTTATGTTTTTAGAATGAGTCACTTTTAATAATTTCATTTAACGCAGGTATTTAACTCTGTTTATTTATAAAAATATAAACTTGATTAAAAAATATTGTATAAACATGTTTTTGATTAGTTTATATTCATAATAAAGTGCGTGCAATATAATAAGTTAATTATTTACACTATAACAGTTTGTGAACGCTTTAGAAATAAAGTTAAATATTAAGTTGTAGTAAGATAATGATAAGAGGATGAGAAAACTATAAAAATATTTTTTGATAGGATAAGATTCCTGATTTGTTCAACAAAATGAAACTGGAACCCTGGTGGGATTCATCAGTGGAGCCAAATCTTCGCCCAATGGTTATATATTTAATGAAAATTATCAAAGAAAAACAACTACTCTCGTACGAGTCAGCATGCAGTTATATAATCGATGTTTTTCGGTACGATCTTCATGAGTTCTAAGGATTATAGTATATAAAATTATTTTCTTTTTTTTATTATAGAACTTATGGTATCGAACCGACGTTAGTCAATCAAGTATTGTCTATTTTATTAACAAATTTAGATAGTAGTGAGAATGACGGTTTACATCCCAATTTAATACTATGTACAATTCGTACAATTGAACAATTTGTAATCGAACGCAAAAGTATAATACTATCTCTACTTGAATTGGCAGGAAACTCGGAGAAGGTATTGTTTTCATAACAGATTGATTTTTAGGGCAAGTAATGAGTAAAATATTAATTATTTTAGGATGATATTGTTACTGAAGCAATTAATGCTGTCAAATATATCACAGATGTCAATGATTCAAATTTAATTGTTTTAGTCTTAAAAAACATGGACTCTGTTCGAGTATGTTTTCTCTATAAACTTTATTGATCGTTAGCACAGATAGAATGATGTTCAATTATAGTATGCTGATGATGAAAATTTTTCATTAAAATCGATTGTGGCCACATTGAGAAGTGCTGATGAGCAGTTAATAGAGGATATGATGGATGGTGTTGAACAAGATACAACCGAAAGTACTAAATTACATCCATTATTAAAAAAGATTTCACAAGAAAAATGGTATCCAAAAGATTTATTACCAACAATTGAAAATGTGGTTGAAGCAATTTTAGAAAAAATATTGACAGCAAATAAAACACAACTGAAAACATTCACAAAGTATTTAATTGAATTACAACGGTAAGTAGATTAAATAAAAAAAAACAATAGTTAGATAGTTTTAACTCTTTTATAGAAATATCGGCTTTTCAAATGAACTATATGATCGCTGTGTCGAAGGACTTGTGCCGTTACTATTACATAATGAGCCAGATCATCGATCAATTATTGCTAATACACTAGGCGAATTAAAAATTGAAACAAAAACAGCTGATATTGCACTATTAAATGCATATGTTAATGACAAACGAGTATGTAAACTGTAATTGATAAAATTATTACAGTCCGACGTCTAAGTAGAGTCCGGCATCGGATTTCTTTCGGGTTTGACTAAATAGTGAAATTAAAATTCGTTTCTACAGAGCAAATTTGTCTAAGGTGTACGTTCGATAGAGAAATGTTTCCGCTTTCGAATATGGTATTTTACGTGAAAAAAGGTTCCACTGACATACTGCTAGCAATCTAAACCCGTGAAAAACCCGAAAACTCAGGTTTTTTTTGGTTTTTCGCAGGTTTGGATTGCTAGCAGTATGTCAGTGGAACCTTTTTTCACGTAAAATACCATATTCGAAAGCGGAAACATTTCTCTATCGAACGTACACCTTAGACAAATTTGCTCTGTAGGAACGAATTTTAATTTCACTATTTAGTCAAACCCGAAAAAAATCCGATGCCGGACTCTACGTCTGAGTAGAAGATTAATGATTTTCAAAACTGGAATAAAATCTCCATCATTTTATTTGATATGAATAAGCCCTTCTTATTCAATTTAACTGATGTGCTTTTTTCATTGAAGGTGCTTGTTCGAACCGAATGTTGTGAGGCACTGAAAAAGTTGTCTGGAATTCAATCGGACACTGTCTTAAAAGATATAGCAGATGATATTGATCATTTAGAAGTGAGTTACCTGTGTAGACGTCATATTCTATGTTTACTAGTTCGTATTTTCTTTTTAATCCAGACATTACCTTCGGCAGGCTTTAGTTTACAGAATTATTTTAACCAAAAAAGGATGCCTGTTGAAGCTGAAGGCGATCAGCAAGAGCAGCAGCAGAATGAAACAAAAGAATATGCAATAATCGACGAGAATGAACAAAAAATAGATGAAGAGCAAGCAACTGAATTTCAGCAAGAACAGTTCTCAACTGAAGTTGAACAAAAACAACATCCAACTGAAGTGGTTCATATGACTGAAACTAGAGCTGAACGTGAGGTTGAAATACCAGTTACAATACAGCGTTATGAGAAAGTTGTTGAGCCATTCAGTGAACCGATTCGAGACATTGTAAAAGCAGAAGAACGGCACATGGAAAAGGAGACAATAATTGATCATCTAGTTCAAAATGTGGATGTCGCGTCTTCAACATTGATCAGCACTACGTCTAGTAGCTTCAAATCAGTAAAACCGACAATAAGAATTGAAATTAATGATAAAACAAAAAAAACGGATGATAAAGTTATTCCTGAGGAGAGAAAATCTCGAGAAAATCAAACTAAAGAAGAAGAAATTGTTGTTTCGTCTATGGAATCAATCTTTGAGTCGAATACAATCGTAATCAAAGAGAAAACAAAGAATTTAGATCCCACTGTTGTTAAACATCGGTAGGATATCCGTTAAAGAAAAGAATCACCCATGGCTATTTTTTATATAACTTTTGAATGGTGCAAACTAGAGGGTTGGAGTTTTCATATACGGGAAGAGGAGTTTATGAAGCATCTGTTTACAAGTGAGAACTCTTTTAGAGAATTTTTCAAAAACCGATTTTTCAAGGGATTTTTGGGAAGCTCTTGTATAATGAAAAAATTTAAAATATCAAATTATTGACTTGTTTACATCAGTAGATAAAGTAAGCGACCTCTTAATCTTTTGTGTTTGAGGTGTGGCATCGGATTCGCGTAAAAGAAGAAAATTCATAACTCAGTCAAAATTGATGCAGACTACTTCTTGATATCGAGATACACCCGATTTTATCTGCAACATATCATGGAGTTCGACAGAACTTTTAAAAACCAACATAAAATACTTGGGTTTTTCAAAACATTTTCTAGAAATCTTCCGAAATAAGTAAATCCGATGCCACACCTCAGACACAAAAGATTAAGAGGTCGCTTACTTCCCATTTGAAGCGGACACTTTCTTTATCTACTGATGTAAACAAGTCAATAGTTTGATATTTTAAATTTTTTCATTATACAAGAGCTTTCCAAAAATCCCTTGAAAAATCGGCTTTTGAAAAATTCTCTAAAAGAGTTCTCACTTGTAAACAGATGCTTCATAAACTCCTCTTCCCGTATATGAAAACTCCAACTCTCTAGTTTGCACCATTCAAAAGTTATATAAGAAATAGCCATGGGTGATTCTGTTTTTGACGGATAATAGTCTGTTTATTTTATGATAAAAGTGAGGGAAAATGTTCTTTCATTTAGTGAAAAATTACTGCCAAACAATTCTGAAACGTGGAGTTATTATAGAAAACGTGATCAATTAGAATTTGCAACAAATGAAACAAGTACTATTATACCTGAAATAAAACAAAATGAAAACCGTCTTGTGATAGAATCTGTTGATAATTTGTCCATTGATGAAGAGAATACAAATGATCAACAACGAATAAAACGTATAATGATGCCAAAGCGTAAAGTATATCTTGAACGTCTTCCACAAAAGTATCATCAGCAACGTCCGAGACAATTTATACAAGATATCAGCAATAATGATCATCATCTTCCAGATGAACACGATATCGTACAAGATCTAATTGATCAGCATACAAAACAGTTTGGTTTCTATCGGCTACCTAAACGTCCATTACTCTTACCAAAGAAAATTTCATTACATTCTTTATTAGGAGAAGAATCACATGTCCTTGCAAACAACCTACAGAATTTTCCTAATAGTCGTATGCATTTAACAGATTTAAATCGTAACAAGCATTTACAAGATATAGAATTTGTTCAACTTTTATCATGTCTAGGTAAACTGATAGGCTTATCTATATTCTATTTGATATTGAGTCCACATATGATGAGTTTAAGAAACGTGAAGAACTTTAATGAAGTTTTGTTTATATGAACTTCGAACATAAAAACTGTACTAATAAAACTGTTTGTATGATGTTTTTCTAGTTATTCGTGGAATACAGATTCATAAACAACATGAACGAATAAGACCGGCAGCATTATCATCGTTATGGGGCAATGATTTAACACAATCACTGTCACTTTTTACTGATACATTAAATATTTCACGTATACCACTTCATTCAACAAACATGCACAATAATCTTGTAGCATCGAAACTACCACCAATTATTAATATGCAACCATCACCGAGAGAAATGTACAAATATCCATCGGAGCATATTATAGAAAATGCACGGTCAAAAGCAACGAAAGCTGGTATACATCATCTATTTTCACTCTAATACAAGATACCCAATCATTCGCATTTTTTTATTTCCAGGGATAAACATTAACAAAGTATTAACCATGCAAGATGCATTAGCAAGTGCTTTGAAATCAGACAGAGAGCCGTCAAAAGGTTCTGATCTTCTAATACATGGACCTAATGCCTCACCAATCATTACGTCACTGATGGATGTACCTGATCCTCATTTAACGCCGTCAGATATAACACATGCTGTCCTATGTGATAAACGTAAGGGCTTGTTTTGTAATTTTTTTATTATGTACAAATATGAATTATTTTTATTTGTGAAGTACTCCAGTCTCATGGTGCTCCACAGTCATCACAATATATTCAAAAAATATATCGTTCGTATCCAAAATTTCTACCACTTTTACATTCACGTATTCCACATCGTATTATTCCACTGATTTGGAATGATCCGATTATACAACAATTAGCATCGATTATGGGAAATAAAGGAGTGAGTCATACTCTTTTAGATACCATAGACACAAATAAAAGATTAAAAATTTCTAAAATAATTTAGGACGATTCACCAATTGAACAAACAGAAAGAAAAAAACTGTGAGTAATAGTGAGAAGTTTTCTTTTCTTGTACTAGTTACTTTTATAATATTATTATAAATACTAATGATTTTCACTATTGTACACATGTTGTAGTGAAACGCGCAATGTTCATACAACAATTGATGATGTAAATCCATCAAAATTGTTTGAATCAATTTATAATAATCAATTTACAACAAGTAATTATCTAACGTCAGATGAACACACAAAACTACCACCTGTACGAGATTCAAAACGGTATAAAATCTTTTTCTTGTTTATCCTTAATATACAATTATATTTATTTAATAAAATTCTATGTATTTCTGTGTATTATCTGTAGACGTTTACCTCGACATATATTAAAATTCGGTTTTCGTGAACTTAATGATAATTCAAACGAAGCTGTTCATTTTCTTCGAGAAGATCAAACACCGAGAACACGCCGACGTCGAATACACGTGCACCTAATGGTAAGTTGAGTGTCTATTAAAGACGACTAAGTTTCATATGAACGATAGATATCATGGTTCATAGGAGTGTAATCATCCGTAATAAAGGTGTAAGTATAGTCTTCGTAAAGCTTTTATGCTACATTTGTCTTAAGTATCGAAGTAGATATGAGTAATCTTTTTTCAATAATTGATTCTTGTCATATGTCTAGCTTAGCTTTTTCAGGTTAAAAAGAAAATTATTGCTGTTGTATGCAGAAAACAGGAGACTATGACTATATGCTATTGCTTAAGAATATTCTTCCGCTTTCTCATATGTTATGATAAGCTCGCATAAGATGATGTATGCTAGTTAGATTAATTAAAACAGTAAAAAATAATTGTAATAGTTTGACAAACATTTAAATAAGTTTAGAATCTGTTCGACACATGTTTAAATGATCGTAAAAGTAGTCTCATGCCTTATGTAATTTTGTCTTGCTTTTTTCTATTGTTGTTATTCGTTTATCAATTTAGATGTCTACAAACGATGATGCTGTAAGTAGATGATTTCAAGCGGGGTAGTGTTCAACTAACTTTCTTTGATACGTTAACAAAACACTTCTGCATGTCGTGATTTCTGCAGATATTGGATTTACATATCTTTTTTCAACATAGATTATCTTATTAACAGTTAGTTATAATCATATCTCAGTTTAGAGTATTAGAATAGAGACTGTTTATACTGTCTTTTTCATTCGTCTGTAATTATTAATTCATTTTAAATATTTCATTTTTTTTATCTAATTGCGTTTATCAATATCACTTAATTTAATAAGTATATATAATATTTTGATTTTAGATTGAACGGCATGAATACGTCAAATTTCAATGGCGTCAAATGTTAAAAACAAAAGTTGTAACTAATGCAGACTACCGAACATCGTATATGCCAATCGTATCTAGACCACCTTTAATGGGAAATCATGCAGTAATATCCGCATCCGGACAATAATATTTTCTATTAGTTACATAATTGAAAAAATCGTCTGACCGTTTTTGTGAAGAAAGTTTTTTTATTTCAATTTTGGTGAAGATTTTCTTTCTTAATGTTTGACAACAACGTTTTACTATTTCAGTTAAATGTAAAATAAAAATTGTATTCATATCACTCAATGAAGTGGCTTTACTCAGGAAGAACATCTATTTCATTTAAAAATACATGTGAATCAATAGTTTGTGTTATACTATTTTAATTGGTAAAGAAATTGTATACAACATCATATGGGGTTCTGTTTACTAATATCACTATTTTCACTAGTGTATATCTATTTTCAAATGTTATAAAGAGACCCAAACAGCATGAACGCAACAGTTGAGGACAATTAAGTAAGATTGAGAAATGCCTTCTAAACAATGGTTCCACTGGTCTAAAATCATTATTTAACTATCGAACATATAAACATGAGAATTATCGGCCAATTACTCCTTTATCTTCAACTTCTAAAATTTCTTAACGCTTATAAGTGTTTTTGAACGCTTGTTTCAAAAAATCTGGTGAGTATTAAACAGTCTGGTATTAGGTCCAGAGATAGCACTATTTATCAATTCCATGAAATTGCGTACCATATAGATAAAGGATTAGATGAATGGGGCTCTGTCAGAGGTGTTTTCCTGAATATAAGCAAAGCATATGATAGTGCTTGGCACTGTGACCTCATTCTGATACCAGATCTGATACCAGATTCTGGTATCAGATCTATTAATATAGATGTACCTCAAGGCTCATTGTTAGGCGCATTAATGTTTCTTATTTTTATTAATGATATTTCTGATAACATCTGTAAATTGTTTGCGGATGACACGTCTATGTTCAGGCACGATGCCAATCTGCTAGCATCGAGTGTTTCGTTAAGTTGTGATCTAGTTCGTCTTGCTTCTTGGGTTGATACTTGGTTATTCAGCTTTAATATTTGAAAATGTAAATCATTGCTGTTCAGTAGATCTCGGCGATTTCAAAATGTTACTGTGCTCTCTTTATTCTTAAATAACAAACCTATTCAGGACGTCCTTGAGCATGTACACCTACCTAGGCTTATATGATATGTTCTGGACCAAGCATATTGGTAAGCTCAAACACCTTTCTTCAGATATAAGGAGCAGCTAATACATTAATAGCTTTTAAATTGAAGCTGTTTGCTTCGTTTTTTAAACAACCTGATATAAATCGTTATCTTGACCCGACTGTTCCTAGGCGCCTTGAGGCAGCCTATAAGCGTTGTACCCTAAAAAAAAGAATTCCAGTGTAGGACTGGAAAAAAGGTTCACCCTGCCAGTGTCGTTGCGCACGGCATGCCATGTTACACTGGCAGTGGCTTGACCACTGGCGCTATCCAGTGCCAACAAGTACCGAACTGGCACTGATGTCGAGTAGTACCGATAATATGAACTTGGCGAAAATTTACAATACTTCCTTGTTAAACCAAAGAACACCGTAAAATATTCCATTCTAATAGTGTTGATACCAGCAGTCGGATTCAGTAGCACTCGTGTCTCAAAGTCGCTTGTTTATTCTTTTTCGATTCTGTGCTATGTCACTTTGTTTTTTATAATTAACGTTTTTTTGTTTTACAGCCTGTTACTTAGGTGAGATAACAATGTTTTGCAAGACAAATTAAATTTCTATGTATTCTTTTACTAAAAATATTGTTTGAAGTGAAGAAAATTGATAAGGAACGGGTAAACTTATCTGTGCTTTTTATATCAGACCAAAGAGTAGATGCATGTTGTGTGTTTGTCAGTAGGAGACGAACTCTTATTAATACAGCTTGAAATTACGGTCATATAGTAATTATGAAAACTAGCTATTCTGAACTTTCTCTTTTTAATAGATGCATTGTTATCTCATACATATTCGTCGGCGAACAATGTTGTTTGTCTTTTTTTTGTATTTGTTACAGATTATAAATAATTGTAATTAGTAAAATTAACAATATGTCAGCAGAATTCAATAAAGCAGCTGAAGATGTGAAGAAATTGTCAAAAGCGCCAAGCAATGAGGAAAAATTACAATTATATGGATGGTTTAAACAAGTAAATGTCGGAGATGTTAACACATCAAAACCAGGTGCATTTGATTTTGAAGGAAAAGCGAAATGGGATGCATGGAACAAAAATAAAGGAATGAGTAAACAAGAAGCTGAACAGAATTATATTGAATTAGTTAAAAAATTACAAGCAAAATAGTGAAAAATAAAAAATTATTGTTAACAGTTTTTTAAAGCGCTATCATTCACTCAAGCAGATAATTCTGAAAACATTTCATAGTATCATTTGTATCCATTTTTGTACTTCCAGTGGTTCTTTTCATCAAATAAAACCATTTACAAACTAAGAAATAGTGAGTACCATGTGAGAAGTGATGAGATACAAGTGATAAGAACTAAAACCATGAATATATTTCTAGGAGACTACTTATTTTTATTGCAAATGAAGTCTTTTAACTTTCTAGCTACAATGATTAATAGTCCAACGGTAAAAAAGAGTATATGCCACAAAGGATCTGAATGCAAACTGGCTCAATAATGCTGTTAATAAAGGTAACATATAAAGATTGCTTTTCATATAATTGCTATAACATTACATCTTCACCGGTAAGGATTACTAGTCAGTTATAAATATTTTATAATTTGACATAGACGATGTTTTTTTTTCGTTGTATGACAATTGTCATTCTCACACGATCTTACTAACTGTATTATATAGACAAACAAAACGTTTCAACACAAACAGATAAAACTCATCATGTGAGAACTAAAAAAGCCAAAAAATGATAAAAATAATGACAGTTACGCCACTAATAAAACTAACAGATTACGAAAAAATAAGACTAGTAACGAAAAAAAACGTTCTCTAATTCTATGTTACTGTTTTGAACTTACTTTTCTCAAGGTATGCAATATTCACAGTTTATAATCACATGTACAAATCGGTTACAAATTAAAAACAGACTACACACACAAAAATTGAAAAATAAAAATATACAGAAAAAATAATTACAGATTAGAAAAAATTGACTCAGTTTTAATATTTCTTTTACATTTTTTAAAAAAATTCGAGATACACCTTCAACAGACAAACAACATCTAGAATAATTCTTACTAGATTTGAAGATGATCACTGTTTATATTGATGTGAATTTGAGGAGTTAATGTCACTATTTCTGGTTTTGATATGGACATTGGCTGTTCTATTTCTAATGTTGTTAATTCATCTAAAGTGTAAGAATCATTTCCTGTACGAAAACGTTTTCTCCAATTTTTGTAGTTAGTCAATGGATTTTTAGCCTCTTTGCATCGACAGCACATAATGCAAGGTGCAGCTAATATTAAAAATGGCGTAGCAATTAATAGTAAAACACTGAGACCAGCAAAAATTCCAACAATTGTTATTCTATGAAGAAAAAGAGATATTCGAGTGTGACCAAGACGATTTCGACATGAACCACGTTCGTAATGTAGTAAGAAAAAATCATTCTAAATAAAAACAAACATAAACTCATCTTTTTCTATTACGATATAATTTTCACTTACATCAAGAGACTTTAAACAATACCAGCAGAAGATGTGCTTGCATCTACGACATAGCATTTGTGCACAACCGACTAAACGTTCAATAGGAAGTTGACATCTGAAAAAAACTTATTATATAGGACGAGCAAGTAATTAAAAAACTTTCGATTACCTTGGACAACGTTTGATGCTTGCTTCTGGATCGGATTCAAATGGAATTCTAATGTATAAGAGAACTACAGATTTTACTCAGATTATAAAGTAAGAAATATAAAATGAAACATACCCTCCATCTAGACATGGAAGACCTTGATGCCAAATTTCATGACATTTAATACAAAAGGTAAACTTGCACTAAAAAAGATTTAGAATTAATGTTATCTATTCATTAAAGCACCAATAATACATTAAAATTAATTATTAGGAACAAAAGCTCATTGATAAATTAATTTTATGTATTCTTACTTGTGTACATGTAATAGGAGCTTCTGTTGTGATATCAATGTCGTCTGGAATAGTGCATATTTGGCCACAATTGATTACTGGACAAAATAATCTTTTTGGATCTAATGCAACCTCTGCAAAAAGTAAAAAACCAAGAAGGAATGAAAAATTTTCAAAATAATATGTCAAATTGTTTATATATTTACCATTATTCAGAATTAGTTTTTCGTACAGTTGAATTTGCTTCACACTTAATACTTGTTCTAACTGAATGAATGAGAATAGAACTTATCGGAGCTTATGTCATTTTGAGAACGTGGTATTTACCTCCGTGATTAGAAAAAGTCCATTACATTTTGCACCTGGACAAGAAATAGGTACTAAACTTTAAATAAAAAAGAAAAATTAAAATTTGAAAATTAAAATGTGAAGATGACAATGACAAGTAAAAAAATCATTTATTTACTTTGTTTCTAATTGATTTGTGCAATATTGAATAACACACTAAAACAAAGACGACATATATATCGTTTTCTTAAACATAAAAAGGCTTTTTTCATATACTTACTACTCTACAAAACATGCAATTGCACATTTTAACTCTATATACTTCTTTCTCATCAAAAATATCATGAAAACAAATTGGACACTGGCATATCGGTGACAATAAATTTTGTAAATCATTTTTTGAGTCGCATAATTGCTCAACTTCTTCTGAATATCCCATCTAAAGAAAATAATCTTTTCAATATCTATTAGAGCATACAAAATTGGGCCAGAAGAATACAAAATTAAGATGGAAAAAGAAGCGCATCTTATGTTATAAAAAAGTCGCTTTCACATCAATAATAACTAATGTTAGGGTTACCAGCGACTGTTTATATCTTACGACATATTCAATCAACTAATTCTAATCCACCGGTTAGAAACAGACTGACAAGTTGGAAAGTAAATAATCCATACAATTTAGAATCACTTTCATATCATGAGAATTTTAGGATATATCTAATGGAAGTTAATCTACATGATGACAATGTAAAAATATGCAAAGAAACCGTTTCCATAGGCTGTATTTTGGCATATAAATCTGAAAAGCCTTTTTGGTGTTGAATCCAGTTTCATGTTTTTTTCTATTTTCTGTTCTTACAAGTTACTGCTACGATCGTGTTCTGAAATTTTATAGTCTATTAGAGCGATTAGAAGGAGATATAAACTTTTTAGTAACAAACATTGGCATGACACTCCGCGTACTCTATAGAGTACACGAGAAAAGTCCAATATATTCTATAGATCTCTAAATCACGAACAGATTTTCCAAAGACTCTTTTAAAAACTCTATTTTAACAAAAGATTATCAAATTTATTTCCTTTAAGAGGAAACGTCTCAGAGCCTTTACCTTCAAAATGCTGGAAAAACGGAACTCCGTTACTTTTCATTCAAAGTTGCTTAATAAATAACCGAGAGTAGCACTTTTTTTGAGCATATAGAACATTCCTGCCTGACTACATTTAATATAGCCATCTGTTCCTCTCTCTTTTGTATTTCCATCACTAAATAATACTGTCCAGAATACAACGTGATCGAACAAGAAAAGGTGACAACAACAAAAATGACTTAAAAACAAAATAGAAGGCAAGGTTTCCCAATTTTTTTAAAAAAAAACTACTGTGAGACGTTCGGCTCATATGTCCGTACAAAATTCGTTTGTTATGGTATGTATATAATGAGAAAAAGAAAAGAACAGAATTAGAAGAAAAAAAATAACACAAATATATAATAACAACAACATCTGTACATCAGAAAAAAAAGGACAATCAAAGTTTGGTAACAAAACAGAAAAACCATAATCTAATTGTTTAAACACAACTTATTCAACGGTAGATTCAAAGCTTTTTGACGTCCGGATAAGAGAGACTACACAAAAATCGTAGCTAACAAATCATATATACAAACATTTCGGCCAAAATGGACACACTCATTGAAAAGAAAAGAAAAAACAAGATTTTAGATCACTTTTAAAAGACACAAAAATAGTCGAGAATGTATGTGCGATGTTTTTTCATAATAAATCTTTTTATCCATTTATGTGTTTGATATCATCTAGAATGGAAAAAAATTATATGTACATGTATATTTTAGTAGTGGCATTAAAAGAACATTTCGAGCATGCCAAAAGTAACTACAATGTTAACAACTATGCAATAACAATGCAAAAAAATGAAATGTATAGATGTTCTGCAAGTATTTTAGACACTCATGACAACGAGATGATCAAGAACAGAAAAAGTTTGAACTAGACAAAAATGTTTTTAAAAGAAAGTTACTTACTTCTTTAACGATATTTTTTATAAAATCTTTTCGTTCTGTTAAATTAAACTCGGGATATTGTGAATAAACCTATAATAGAAAATATGTCAGATATTGAAAATTGCACATAAATGGTTTTGTTTCTTACGTCTTTAAGAACATTTTTCATTGTAACACCAGATAAATCGACTCCATTCAAAATCTTTTTAATAGTTGAGCGAAGAGAATCTTCCTAGAATAAATAATAGGTCGTAAAAAACAATTTTTCAAAGATATATATAATTTGTTTACACTTGGTCCTTTCGCTTCATCTGCTGTATCATTTTCCTGTTTTATATCGATTAAAACACTGCGTTCTAGTACGCGAGTTAATTTGTCATCGTTTTTCGATATACGTGCCACTTTTTTCTCGTCTACTTCGATTGGTTCACTTTTGATTTTTTTCAAATCCTTTTTTGCCGGCGATGGTGCTAGAACAAATAAAAACTTGAGATATTTGAAAAAACAAATCATAGCCTCGTATACATACAGCCACGTTTACGTTTTTGACCTTTATCTTTTGGCACAGTATTTGCACCACGTGACGAAGATGCTTTCTTTTTTGGCAACGATTTCTTTTTACCTAAATATAAAAACAAAAAACTAATAACTACAACCCGTTAATGATTAAAAAATAGCAAACCTCTGCCTGGCTCGTACGTGTCACTTTTTTCTTCTTCCATTTCATCACCACCGTCATCGTCTTCCGTATGATTGTCTTTCTCATTCGAATCTGCATCAGATTCATCCATAATTTGAGATGTTGCTGTATTATTACGTTTACGACTAGCAACTTTTAAACTGCTGTCAGTAGATCGTCGTTTCTTCGATGCAGAACCTTAAAAAAGCGCAACATTTAATAGCGTATTCAATCAAACATTTTGTAATTACAAACTTTGCTTTGACATTTTTTTTGCTACACGTTTTCCTTCGTCGTATGGTTCAACAAGAAAATCCAATATTCTTTCGGCTTGTTCTTCGTTTCTACCACTTTGTTGCAATCCAAGAACATCAAGAATTACTTTCAATTGTGGCTTTTTATATCTAAAAAATATAAAATTATTAATATCATCAGAAGAAATCTTCTACTCTAATGTGTACAGTACTTCAATAATCTACTCAGTGTTCGATCATATTCGGGAGTTCCTTTTTTGAAATCAAAACCAGCAAATGTTCGAAGTATTTTTTTCATATTGGCATGAACCTATCAAAAGAAAACATCATGAATGAGAGATTATGCAGTAAAGCAAATGGTTAGTTGCTGAATACGAACGCAATTTAGATGAACTCAATACAGATCTGTACGAAAAGATTCATCACTAAAAAATCATCAATTATAATCTTTATAATACTAATTTCATCTTACCACTTTTCGTCCAAAACAGATATATTGCAATGAAACCAATTGTTCGCCATTTGTATTCGTAATTTGATGATTAATATATTCAATTTCACCTAGTGGCTTGCCGTTTCCCTGTAGACAAGGGTGAAGAATGAGATAGTCATTAGAGAAAGCTTGCTAATTTTACTTTTGGTATTTGAATTTCTTTTTTGGGGGTAAGTTCGTTCATTTCTAATCGAATAGTAGCTGTTCGACGTCTTTTGCCTTCTAATACAATTGGTTGCTCAAAAAGTGCTAAAAAGAAAAACAAGAGATAAAATACAATAAAAAGAGTAAATCAAAAAATACGCACGTGTATCGACTTCAGCTGGTTGTGTTGAATCTGAATCAACTTTATTTTCGTCCTCTTCTTTAATAGTATTGCTTGACGCTTCTGTCTGATTCAAGTCATCTTTCTCTTGCGATGCAGTATTTGATTTTGTAGGCGAAGATGATTTTGATCGCTTATTTGGACTAGACGAACTTTTCCTGTTTGATTTTGTATTTTTTCCATTCTTCTTTTCAGGTTCTTCCGATGTTTCTGGTTCAGCTGTTGCTGTTTCGTTCAAAACGGTTTTTAATAATGTCTCTTCTTCCTTTCGATTCTCAATATGATCAGTATTGTTGTTATTGGGAGACGAAGATACCGTGGCAGTAGAATTTGTCTCAGTGGAAGTTTTCAAAGTATCATCTTTTGCTTGATCATTTTGTGTGTTGACTTTTGTTGTTGGTGCCTAAAATGAATGGTAAATTAACCATGAAAAACATTTTTTAAAAAATAAACATTTCTCACTTCTTTTCCTTCAGGCACTTCATTGCCATTAACTTTGTTATTCTCGTCGATTGTCATAAGAAAATGAACGCTAATAGAGATTCTGAAATAGACAAATCTAAGAAGAAATGGGATCATATTAAAGTTCAATAATTGTATACTAAGATTTAACTCAGCAGAGTAATCTTTTAAAGAGGAAAATTAACAAAGTACTATGTTTTAGAAAATACAGATGTTGATAGATATTAAGTTTTTCAATTTAAATAAACTCTTTCAGTGTACCTCACACTCACGTGCACGTCAAACACAACAAAGTGACATTTCCTTAAAATTCTATGAACAATACAAGTAAAATCAACTATCTTTTATCTCCATCCACTTATAGCTTTCTTTTCCTCACTACGCTATACATAATATGCTACGAAGTGTGATAGATGGGGATAGGGATTGATTATCGCTTCAAGGCGTGACTTAACATGTCGTGCATGCTATAATGTATAAGCTATTAAGTGTCGCGTGACTATTAACCATTTTATAGACGATAATCAGTTAGGACATTTAGACTAGCGCAGAATAAACTGTATATACTCCATATACTGAGGCATGACAACTAGCAAAGATTATTTGTGGCACTGAAAAAAACGGCCAAATTTTTGAAAACATACTTATGTTTACCGACTCATCACAGATGAATTAAAGCACCTAAAAAACAAATGACTTAGATTGTTGATCTACAGTTGTTGAACGACCGAACTATCTTTTCCTAGAATTTCTGCGATCAAAGATAGCTGAGAATGAATGACGGACAAAGCAATATGTCTAGAAAGAAAGGCTCAAGACCTTCGAAGATCGGAAAAACTGAAATGAATTAACGGAAAAATTATTAGCGTTAAACTATCGAAAGTTACGAAATCAATAAAAGTCGAATCTAATAATAAACGAAGAATAAACTGAGCTTATGTAAGAATTCCAACCACTTTTTTTCCAGAATGCCTATTTGTTCAGCTATCACGCAAAGCTTAGGTGAAGGACATATGTAGATAAGATCATACGCTAATAATGAAGTGGTGATAGACCATTTAATCATTGTCAACATTTTGCAATAGTGAACAAGCAGTTCTTACACTGAGATATCATAAGACAATTAGTTATTTTGCAGCTTTTGGAAACGTCAGTGATTAAAACACATAAAAAACCTTCATACGTATACAGTTCTTAAATATGTTATCCATATATTTTTGAAGGCGTTACAATTAAGACTAACTGGAAACAAGAGACTAGCTCAAAAGAAGAAAATGATCTAGTGAAAAGCAATGAGCCTCTGTTTGTTTCAGTTGTTCTGTCGACTCAGAGAAATATTAACTGACAGGTGTGATGTAACATAACTTAAAGGTCTGATTTATATTAGGATAAAACGCGACTAACAAGTCAAAATAATCTAGCATCACTTGCTTCTGGCGTCATTTCAGCATCCATATAAAGTCCACAAAATTCGGTCCTCTAGAGGTTTGCATTGTATGTAGTTTTTGAAACTTTCAAAAAAAATTAGCCTTAGCCACGAAAGTCTGTTCTAATTTGACTTCACTTGTTTACCACAAAATCTTCGCAAAAATGCAAATGATAAAAACGCGGAGAGAGACGACGCACTGAAACAATGCTACAAAACTTGTGCTTAACTTCAGTCGATCAAATGGCTTTTTTCCTCAAGGATAATCTAGAACAATTTTTGCATCAAAATAAGCTACCGAGAAAATATCGTACAATAACGTCGTATCATTTACATTGCACTTGTGCCTTCCATCATTTCCTTCATATAGGTGAGCAGATGTCGCATAGTACACAGAGACCGAAAACAAAAGAAAAAGCGCAAATCATATATATTCTGTCTTAAGTGTCATCTGAGCCGATTCTTGAAACATAGCACTCTTGAACTTTATCGGTAACCTATCTTGACGCAATTGAGTGAAATCCAACTTTCGATATTTCTGTTGTTAATTTTTCTTCAACTACTATTGCAAATATTGGAAGTGTTAATACAAATATTTTTTATTACGCAAAAAAACCAATAAATGATCAATTCAAACGTGACTATTTACTCGTAACCCATTGCTGCATTTTTAGGTACTTTTGAGAACACCGAACGCGTTCAAAAATTCGAATTCAAACAAGCGCGTTTAATTGTATTTTTTTGTAAAAAAGACTAAAAAATAGAAATAAACGCTTTCTATCAGGAAACAAGGATAACGAAAGAAAAAAACGTATTTACTCAGGTCCATGATGACGACTGCCGTAAACTATCGTGTACAATGTTGGATACGACAGTAAACAGTATGAGTATAGTAATTTGACATACACATAACACACCACGCATACGACTGTCGTATGTCATCGTATTTTAAGGGTACTGTCGTTTACCGCCTGGGAGCTTGGATCTGGGTATTTTCGATGTTTCATTTAGAAAGGACACGAAAATTCTTATAAAATAAAATGCAAAATAACGCGTTTCGATATGGTTTTTCGTTTTTCTTCCGTTGTTTCCTTTTAGCTTCAAATAATCCTGGCTCCAAGGAATGCGAATTGACGTAGACAGTCTCTGCTTGGAGCTACTATTTCGAGCTAAAGGGAAACAGCGTTTTCTTCGCTCCCCGGTATGAAAAACGTTCCCGCGCATTTTCCTGCGTAAAAAAGCGTTTTTTAAACGCCTTTGCGAAAAAGAACAGCAAAACGCGCATTTTTTTTCTTCTCGTTGTTTTCCTTCCATTTCTGATTGTAGAACATAAACACATGTTTATTTTCATTTTTATTTTCAAGTTCTTTTTCATGTGTTTCTTCACCCACCAAGAGAAACGCATTTATTGCCGTTCCGAATTCAACAACGGAAGAAAACGTGTTCAAGAAATTCTGCTCCGTTTTTTGCGTTCCACAGTCGGCAACGCGTTCAAAGATGTTCTCGCTGACAAAACCCATTTTAATACGCTTTTTTTCACGAAAAAACAAACAATATCCTGTTTCTGGTATTTTAACATAATCTAATGCGTTTTTATTTTTTGAATGTGTTCGTTTTGCTTAATAACAATTAAATGGCGTTCTTGTATCATGAATATGTTTTGTCCTTTTTATTCTCTGTCGCACAAAATACTCGATAAATAAAATGGAGCCAATTTTTAGATTCAGGAATATGAGAGGAGCACTATGATGTATTCTGGATGACCATTGATCATTTATTAATGTTTGACTTTTTGACCTCACCGGAAAGAAAGAAGGTTAGTAATTAGTAATCAAAGTATGGAGAAAGAGCTAGTTAGATGATATTTCATGTACTTGATGATTATGTATTCACGATGTTGAACGTATCACATTAATATAACAACTAGTCCGAAAGATTTACTTAATAATAATCCATATTTATTTGTCGTATTTCGTCTATGTAGAATAAATTCTGAAAATAAAAATATAGTAAACGGCTGAAGGTTTATTGGAGATAATCAGAAGACAAATTCTTCGAAATGGAGATAAATCTCAAATGTGTAGCCATCTTTCTTATAGAAGAGAAAAAAATTACTAATTCATAAGTTTAATAAATGCAAATTCTTAAACATCTAATTGTGTTTTGCAAATTATTTTTGAAATCATCTTCATCAAAAATTGAATATCTCTCTAGGATGATGTTATAGAAATTCACTCAAATCGCACATCAATCTATGTTTTATCCTGAAAAGAATGAGTATGTAAAAACGTTGTTTGAATACAATTCGATCGAATATATTTTGGTATTTTTACAAGAAATAATTAGCGTTGCTAACATGTTTTGGCCAAGAAATTTTCAGAGAAAAGAGTCATGATGGAATTTAATATGAAAAATGTTTGAGCGTGTTTATATTTATCTATCAGTATTCTTAATTGATCTTGTGTTTAATATCAAACTAATGTACATATTAACACTCATATTAAACTTGTAAAAAAACCATAACACTGTAAAATAGTAAGTAGAAGATATTTATAAAACTATTTTGGAAACAGTTAATGATAAACTATGTCTTGTTTGAGTTTGAAAAGATGGCTTCACGGCTTCAACGTCAACAGAAAAAAGTACAACCGGTAACGAGACGAGCAACAACAATAAATTATTTTTCGCTTTTTAACGAAGATCAAATTAAAGAATTTAAAGAAGCATTTTCAGTAATTGATCAAGATCATGATGGTTTTATTAGTTCAGCAGATTTAAGTGATATGTTTACATCGTTAGGTAACGATTATTTCACACATAAGTTATAGAAACCTCTCACACACACACACACTAAATTTTAGGACAGAATGTGTCAAACACCGATATTGAACAAATGTTAAATGAAGCACCGTGTAAATCTTATTGGCTATTTCTCGTATAACTGACTATTTTACTTTATTTTAATTAAGGTGAAATTAATTTTGTTACTTTTCTAATGCTGTTTGGTCAAAAGTTAATGGGAACAGATCCATCTAATGTGTTGAAAAATGCATTTTCGATTTTCGATACTGGCATATTTACAGGTATGTGAATGATTTCATTTCAATTTTAAAACAAATATTGAATTCTAATCCGTAGGTAAAGTTTCATTCTCCAATTTACGCGAAGCACTAACGAATTATGGTGATCGTTATACGGAAGACGAGGTATGTTTTAATAGATGTTGTGTGCTATGATTTCATGATTGAAATACTTTTCTCTTAATAGATCGAAGAGCTATTTCGTAATGCACCGATAGAAAACGATTTATTCGATTATAATGAGTTCATCAAATGTTTAACACAAGGTTCGAAAATTAATAATCCAGAAGCAGAACGCTGATAGGGGCAAGGACTGAAGACAATCCATTTTTCTTTAGCAATATCTTAATTTTTCACAATCGATTTTATATGCATGTAACTTTTAAGTCCTTTAAGACTCTTTTAAACTCGGATTTTTGTCTCAATCGACCAATACCTTTTTTCCCATTTTCTTTTGGTTAAAAACGTTTTCTGTTTCTCGAAGTTTTGTAGTGACATAAAATCCACGTTTAAAACGATAATGGGACTCTTCGATTACTTTTTTATAACTTCTACTGCAGTAAATCTTTTTCACTGAAAACACTCTAATTCTATCAAATTGACTAGAGTTCTTTTTTTATTTTATTAAAATCAAACTGTTAAAAGAACATATTGTTCAGCACTGCAGTGCTTCATGCAATATAGAATTTGTATTTCAATCGAAGTCAGATCTATTTTGTTGAAACTGATATAAAAATTAAGCACATGTGCTTATCTGTTTATCTCATATACGTTATTCATTCTCATACATTTTTGCTCTTGTGCTATATATGCACTTGATATTAAACATGGCTGATCACAGTGTGTGTTTTCTAAACTTACGATTAATACGTCTGAAATCTATATGTTATGTCTCCTTTAGAAGTGAGAGAACTATATCTTTCGTTACACTGTTTTACAGAGGTTTCAATTTAGATCGAACAAACATATTTTTTCTCTTTTGCCATTTTATTGTCCTTTTTATCTATTCAATATTGATCTATAAGTTGTTGAAAGAAAGAATCTGTCTTACTGCTACTGTTATCAGTGTAGTATACCGACACGTGTCAGTATCAACAGTCCGATATCTTTCCTACGGTTGGCAGGCTGCAGCTTTGGTCAGAAGGCTAGCTTGATACAGAGTTCTGCCGTCCTATTGCGTGAGCGTCCTACACACGCTCTCTGATCACTTACCAGACGTGCGAAAAGGCATAAAGACGTACCTCATATCGTCTATTTCCATGTGTTTATTTATTTTATTTCCATCTTTGAGTAAATTTTGATCTTTGAAACGCGTTTGTGAACAGAATGTTTTTGTTTAGAGCTAACTTAAAAGAAATACCCGAGCTACAATATTACATGCAGATCGGAACTTGTCCGTAGCTGATTTAAGTAACCCGTAGTTAAAGGTAATTTGTTAACATCGAGGTAGTCATACGTCCTTGCTCAACTTGTAATCACTAGGGTGTATAAACATATTGCTTGCATTTTCGGTGTTCTGAAGAGTGGTTGATCATATGTGGAAATTACATGAGATTCTGACTACACTGATGTTTCTTCTTGAGCGGCTTTTACAAATCTTATTGCGAATCATTTAAATCAGCATTACAGATAAGTCTCGATCTATAACATTCTCTTATTAGTTGCTGTTTCCTTTCAAGTTTATTTTAAACAAAAGCACTCTGCCGACAAACGTTGTCTACTCAGTTTTTACGATCATTTCCAGTGAAATAGGTTAAGTCCCCTTCTACATTGCGCAATAACATATGGAACAGCGTCCGAAGATTTATCGACGAAAAATGAAAAGGTAATGAAACATTTTTTAAAATTATTTGTAACGCTTGATCGACTCTGACATATTGAGTGATTCGCTGAAGACATTTGTAATCATTAAAGAAAGTAAATGTAGAAAGTTTTATGTAAATTTTGACACTATATGTTGTATATGCAAATCGTAGACATTTATAAACATCCAGTACAGCGAGATAATGTGATATAACTGTACAAAATTGCATAACACATGTTCTCAGAAGCATTCTAAATCCTATTATTCTTTGAATGTTTATCTTGAATCCATAAAATTCAGTGTATAATAAAAGCGTATACATAGCTAAGAAAAACGCCATTACCAAATACGAAAATAGAAAACAAAAATTTAAGATAGATATGCGCGCGTGGGTGCATTCATTGATAAAATAAGAAAACGAACGGTGTATGCTGCTGACGTAACAGTTAAGATATGATTGATTCGAAAAGTACAAGTTTCGTAGAGTGAAAAAAATGTTGATGCTATATTGAGTTACGATTAGGTAATTGTATTGATGAGAGGTTTCTATCAACAGTTCTATATTGCAAATTTAATAGTTCTTTGGCGAGCAACAGTATAAACATCTTACTTTTTATCATAGCAAAAAAAAAAAACATTTCAAAAAGCACTTTCAGGCAGGAAAAAAACTTTAGTATAAAATTTAATATCTGCTTATTTTTATCCAAAGAAAAAAGATACATCACATTCAGAAACAAATAAAAAATGATATAGAATGAACTGGAACAAAAAATCTCTTCTCCGTCGCAAATCGTGGTAGTATCCTATCTTCATTAATTATTCGGCTGAAAAATCGAGCAAAGAGTCGTATAAAATATCTGAATGTTATTACAATGTACGATAGATGGCAAATATGGATGCGATACATAATTAAAAAAAAGAAACAAGGCATAAAAAACAAAATAGAAACAAACCATAATCTAAGAGGAATGTTACATAAATTGGCAAAAGATTTTCTTTGTTTCATTTAATCATTTTTGTATTTAGGCATCATTTATTTTTTGGTTATTAGTAACATAAGAAAGAGACATAATTAAAATCATCTAATCTTGATCTTTACGTCCATATTTTAGTATTTTAACAAATTCTTGATAATCGAATAGACCATGTTTAATTGGGGCTTCTTTAAATAATTCATCGACTTCATCTTCGGTGTAACGATCACCAATTGTCATCAATAGTTCACGTAAACGTTCTTCTGAAATTTTACCTATAAAAAAAACGACGTTACATATTGTTTTTAGAGACGGTCTTGAACAAATACTTACCATTGCCGTCTTCATCGAAACAGGCAAAAGCATTTTTAATAACATCCTCTGGATCTGTACCAGTTAATTTTTCACCGAATAATGTGAGAAACATCGTAAAATTAATATCGCCAGGTGCTTCTCGTATCATTGCATCAATTTCCGCATCAGTAACTACTTTACCTGAAAAGAAAAAACAGAGTATTTGATTAGTAAAAGTGTTACAAATAATATTCGACTGATCATACCTAGGGATGCAAACATATCTTTCAAATCGTTGCCGTCGATAAAACCATCGCGATCATGATCAATTATGTTAAATGCCTCTTTGTATTCTTGAATTTGCGATTGATCAAACATAGCAAAGATGTTTGATGTTGCGCGCTGTTGACGCTTTTTTGGTTTAGCTTTCCTCGATGATGCCATCTCTTTATTTTTAATATCTTAATACTAAAAGAACGAAAATATTTCGTCAGATGTTCACAGATGATGACTCTCTAAGCAGCAGAGTTATTAACATAATAATAGATTTTTAAATGTTTCATTTTTTCTTCAAAAGCTAAACGAACGTATAGCCGATGCAAAATGAGAGAATCAGATACAGCTAAGCTGTTTTTATATGCATATCTCGTATCTTAATTTGGTATCTTGCAAGTTTAATTGATCTGCTTAAATTTTCAAAAACGGAAACATCAATCATATACAGAAGAAACCAAATTAAGATACAAGACATGTATATAAAAGTAGATACTGTAAACAGAGAAACACAGGTACAATACACAGTGTTTCTACACGAAACTTTCAGGCAACAAACTGTCTTTTGACAAAAAGTTATAAATCCTAAGACTGTCAGTGAAATGTGATAGATAAAGAATTTTCACTACTATTATCAGTGTTTCTCTAAACAGAAGTATAAAATGACAAAAATCACTATCGTCTACTAGTTCTCTAAAATAGAAATGATTAAGGTGTAGTAATAAGAACAGTTTAAAATTCAAAAAAACAAAAGTAGCAAAGTGTAAGTCAAAATTTCAAAATGTGTATGGTATACACTGTTTTTCAAGGTGCAACGCAAAGTGAACATTCATTTTTCAGAGCGCTAGTAACATTTTGTTTACATGGATGCACTGTATCAGTTGAATCTCTGAATATATGAAACCTATTTATAGTATGGTTTATGAAAAATAAATATCTTCGCGCAGCTTTCATAAGCGACAAAAATATCCACCCGCACTACGTATGCTTAATCATATGACCGATAAAAAATGATTTCAGTCGATGATTATTCACTGCCACGTTCCCCCGCGCTCTTCGAACTTACAATAAGAAAAATAGCTTGAGAATTTTAAAGCCAGTGATCAAGACAAGAACATCTGAAAAGCATCCAAGATCCTCGTTATATAAGCTGCGGTCATCTGCTTATTAGTCATCAGTAATCGAATTCCTGACTGCCGCCCACTCCGCAGCAACTTCAATTTTCTATTCAAAAAAGGAAAATATTTTTTGATTGGTTAGTCCATGAAATATGAGAAACCGTCCAAAAAGTAGATAAAAGAGGAAAAGAGAATTAAATAATGAATCGATATAAGTTAGACCTGTCGGTCAAAACTAGGCATCCTAAAATTTTTACCCACATTTTTTTATCCACTTGAATCTCTAATATCGCTGTAAAATTTCCAAATTTCACGTTGATAGTAGCGATTTATGCAAGCCTAGCTTTGACCAGACGTCTCAGTATCTTGAACAGAATTTAAAACGAACGAATTATATGTTGCTAGGTACTTATCCAAAACGTAAAGTGGTTTCCCATATTTTAATGCCGTATTTTTGACGTTATCTCTGTTAAAAACACAATGGAAATCGACTTTTCGAAGTGCAAGACCACTTTGCTCACGCTTGGATCACCAATCGTTAGAAACGCTGTCGAGAATTAGTAATATCGGAAGGATCTAGAGCTCCGTATGCATCAGAAATTCTTTTATAAGAACTACTTAAGTGTTCCTTGCTCGAATGTTTTTGATTTGTTTGCTAAGCTGGCCTGAAATTTCACCAGGTATTAGACTAATTCCAGCAAGGGCAAGACATTGTTTGTATCTGCTTTAGGATTAGCTTTCTGCACGTTAAAAAGTGTGACAACGAATACACCTTGAGAGATACTTCGATTCCACATTTGATCCTCCTGAACTATAAAAATCTTTCTGTAAACGTTCGTCAACGTGAATAAAAAACTAAGTTGTGAGTGGATGACTATAATATAATATTACAAATAAAAGGCTCACAAATGGTATGATGTATGATAATGACTTAACTAGTCTTCAGACTGGTCTTGAATCTATCTGCCATTTAGTATCTGATGTTGCCTATCATATTAGCGTTAATTTGTTCAAAATTTACCACTACATCATATCGGAATAATAAAGTATCTGTGTCGTTCACATTATAGATTTGGTTTTTGACTTTCTGTAATTGAAGATAAATAGTGTTTTTGATCGACTTCTGAATACTATGAATAATAAAATTCTGAAATAAAACGTGTCTGCAAATTTCTTTGCAGGATTTGCACAGAATCTGTTAAAATCTGCAGCAGATCTATACAGATTCTGCTATGAATCTGGTACAAATCTTGGCTACAATCTATATTGATCTGTTGGAAGTTATCCTTAGGGTACAAATTGCTACTGATTTTGTACGAATTGAACTATTAAATATTTTTTCACTTCATTAAACAGCACATGTCCGAATCCGGTATATTCTCTACAACGCGGTGTTACGGAGAATATCATTCAGTATATCGTTTTAAAGTTCTTCACCTTTCTGGTTTGATGGGTGGATTATAAGAGTGTATAAGACGACAAAAAATTAAAGAAGCTCCAAGTTATCTCTCTCTTACTCGTTGAAGTATATGAACTTTGACTCAACTTGCGCAATGAGACAGTCTTATGATGACTGTCATCTCTGGTTGTCGGCGAGTCTTGAAATAAATTAAATACACCGAAAAACTATCACCAATGGTTTTTTTTACTGATGGTAATTTGAAAATTCCGCACGGTTAATCGTCAGTATACTCTCCGGTAAACTGGCGTTATTTTACCGGTATCTAAAACATGGGAAAATGGCAGGGAAGTAATTTCTCGACTAAAGATGAAGAATACCACTAGCAAGACCTGGAAGAACACCACCCTATTCGACACTTAGACATTTACTTTTTAGCTGATTGCTGCATAACCTAGAAAAAACTCGACCTTTTCTATAAAACACATTTGTGCAAAGTGTAAGTGCATTTTTAAATGCCAGTGGCATTTCGCTTGCTGTCAGTCGAAAGAGTATCGGTCAAAGATGGGATCGGCTCGGTCTCAAACTAAACCAAACCGAAAACGGTTCTGTCTGAATGACGTTTTCGAAAGATTTAGGAAAATGAGAAGATTTTGAAAAAAAAATCAATGATTTTTATCCTCTCTGATGTTATCATCGCTGTTTTCAACGTTGTACTCAAACATATAAACAAGCCTTTTGTGATTAATAAAAAACGAATGGATACCTTCTGTTGCCTTTACTGTTTGTATTTTTGCAACCACAAATCTATGTTGTGTTGATGTTACAATTATGTTATTGCCGATCAGAAATAAGTTTCTACTCCGGTGCGAAACAATGTTATATGATACGAACGAAACAGATCCCTGTGAATATCTAGTATTGTTTCAGCTCTTTCTGCTTTGAAAAAGATGTTCGGCTTCGGCTGGATGTTGAAGAAAACAGGAAACGTTCTTCCTTCTGGTGTCGATTACTGTGTACCGTTCTCCTCTCTGATGTACCTATGAGTGTTTTTTAAGTTGATTCTTAAGATTTTTATTGAGAATATCGATGGAGCGATACCTTTAAAATACTTCTGAAACAGTTAACATTCGCCTCAAGTTTCCTGAACTTATGCAATAGTTCATAAACGACTTTCACACCTCTCTTTTTTCTGTTATTTGAGAATGAAAGATGAGTCAGGTTAAATCCTCAATTCTTCAATTCTGTAAAAAGCAATTTTATCAGCCAAATTTTCAAGATAATAATAGACTTCTTTTCACGATTATGTCACTCTTACGAAGCGTTGACGTCAACGTTCTCACAGTCAGGCTATCTCTATTGATGAAAAAGTTAAAGGGGAAAAGACATCTATTTCATGTGACTTTTCGGTTATTAAGTACACATATCGATCACAAACTAGAAAAAAATGATAGTAGGAAATGAACTCTTGTTTAAATCTGAAACTTGCATACAATAAATTGGATACTAAATCAGAAATTGCACGAAATAATCCGATTGGTCGTTGCAGTCTTCGACCACCTTGTGTAGCAGATCTCAATTATTGATTCCATAATGAATTATAATCATAGTAAGTAAGTGTGTGCGTTTTTTGTGAGCTATTCAGCAACCTCCAACCTAGGGTATACATCTGTGTTACAATACCTCAGCAAAATAGTTGGTATACGTTTCGCTATAAGAAGTTCATTTTCACACATACGCCTGAAAAGTCACGATAAAATGTGCCATTGGAGTGCTTGGTGTCATGTGTCCCAAGCATAATTATTAAAGAGAAGCATTATTTGTGTTGTTCTTCAAAAACCGCAGTATGTCCACAAATTTATGAAGTGTTTTCAAACAACGGTAATAATAAACTTTTTTGCTATTGTGTAGCCGATAAAAGTGACTTTCAAACCTGAAATTTACTCTCTGATAAGCGAGCATTTGCATCAACCGAAATTGAAATTGCTTTTCAAATTTCATTTCTGATGTCAAAATTAGGTAACTCAGTTACTAGTCATTGTATTACATAATATAGTCTTGGAAGTTTCAGAAAAAGTGAACGAAAGAACTGTGTTTCTCGTTGGCATTTGTTGAGTCCAGTAATTGGAAAATACGTTTGCGTGTAAGGTGAGAGTAATGACACATTTAATTAGACAGGTACATATGATTGAATTGGCTCTTATGCATCATACCTTAGGTAATAAAATTCATCGGTTCTTCTACTTTTTTGTCATAAAACATATAGTATAAGTCAAAAAAAAACCTTATACACAATGTATAACAAAATTGATCATACACCACTCACGCATTTAAGCTTATGATTAGTATTTCTTCAAAACAGAATCATCTGCAAGGCTAGGAGTTTCTCTTAACTGTTGCAAATTTATTGTAGTTTATTTGCTTAAAATAGAAAGTGCTTATGTCATATAGTCATTATGTTAGGCCCAGAAGAGTGAAATGGATGACTTTCATTGTCCAACAAAAGTCAACCTGCAGTTTGATTTTTTATAGTGAACTTTATTTTTAGCTTGATAAAATGAGTGTATTTTGTGTAGTTTTTCTTGCTCATTTGACTCAAATATACTTCCGAATTTTAAATCAAAGAGCGGAGAAAATAGAAACGAAAAATAAAA